TCACATGGCTGCCCACCACATGCCTCTGATGGGTTAAATGCAGAGCACAATTTTCAACATTGTATGGGAACATGCATTGAATGACAAATAAAGTACCTTTACCAAGACTTTTACTCAAGTAATTTTCCTAAAGGAGACTTTGACTGTTACCAAATTATTTTTTAGTAAGATACTTGTACTTTTACTCAAGTACCACACAGATCAGAAGAGACTATAACCTTACAAACTCACACAACTGTTTTGTTTTGGGGGGGTTTAATAATGAGATAGGCCACTAGTCCCAAGTATGTTATAGTTGTTCCTTTGCTTTGACACACCGGATTTCAACAAATGAGTGATTACAGAGCTTTGCAGAACTTGAAGACCTGCTGACGAGAGGGGAAACAACTAAAACATGCAAGTTAGTGGTCCTCGTGGTCCAGGATTGGGCACCACTGGTGCAACATTTCCAAACCTTGTAAAGGAGGTCTTTCCATGCAAGATTTACTAAGGTTTCACAATCGTGGCGCCCATGGTAAAAGCAGATAACTCCAAAAGTAATACAATTGTAGATGTGCCTATAATGACTCCTAGCAACTTTATTCAAAATCTATCCAGCAATCAGATATTTCGCTAACATGACAGGAAAACTAAAACACAGACACAGGTGAAAACATCCTCCTCCTTTTAAAACCTCTTCTAATAAGGAAAGATGACCAAAGGACAGTTTTGTTGTTTCTAGTCTTTTTACAAGTTTATTCTTGTGCCGATCAAAGTGCTTCTATTTGTTTCAGATTTTCAGTGACCATTCCTGAATGCATGTGTTGTGCATTAATATACATGAAAACACATCATCGTTAAAGGTGTGCAGCCGCAGCCAGTGTCCTTCTCTKAAGCCATGCACAACACATTTATATTCTACAAAAGTCATCACAGGAAAACATGTTCATTGTGCAGATTTATGACATCAATCAAACTTTGAAACAGATTAAAATAAAATATTACAGTAATTGTCACATTTTTAATTTTAATTTTGAAGAACATTTTGTGCTGTATCATCCTCTTTATTGCAGACATACAAGGACAAAGTGCTTCTGCATAAGTTATTCAGGTTCTTTCCTTTTGGGGATTAAAGTTTCACAGACACTTTTCTACACTTTGAGTCCAAAACACACGTTGAAACTGCAGCAACAGTGAAGTACAGAGGAATGACAGTGAAAAGATGGCAGCCGCGGCACTACAGGAGGGAAAACAAACAAAGAGAAGAGAGGCAGGCTTCATAATCAAGTTTGAAAAAATCGGGATGGAGAGGAGAGCAGATAATAACATTGCTTGGAAGCTGAAAGGGCAACCCACATGAGGCGTGAGGAAGAGATGTGGGGACATCATATATATA